GCAGTGGTTGTGGTTGCCTGATGACAGGGGTAGGGGGCTGTCACTGGTATTAAACAGACAGGAACCAGAGATGCTAAATGCCCTGCAGCGTAAGTGACAGTCTCTCACCATAATGAGTTGTTATTATACCAAAATTACACTATGCTCAAAATTCCAGCTAGTGCCCTCATGGAGAAATGCCAACCTAGAGAGCGAGTATGGAAGGAGAAGAGGAGAAGCTCGAGGGCTGAGCACAGGAGTTCGCCAAGGTCCAGAGGTCGGAAGATGAGGAGGAAGGGCCAGAGCAGTGGGAGGTAGGAGGTGACTTCAAAGTCAAAGATTACTTCTGAAATAGCAATCGTTAGGGACTATTTGTGCCTTTTTTCATCATTGACACAGAAAAATCAATAGCCTTTGTTCAGTTGTCTCATAAAAGCATTAACTCTGAACAAGAGAATGTGTTATAAACCTGCATCCCCGTAAAACGTAAGCGGGACAGGTGAGCACCACGAGCAGCACGGAGTGGGCGCCGCCGCAGGGAGGGGAAGGTGAGGGAGTTCAGCCACGCTGACTGGGGAAGACCAGCACTGAGGGAGTATTTGAACAGGGCCTTGCTCGAAGAATAAGAAAGATTTTTAACACATAAGCACGGAAAGTAGAGGATTTTGGACAGAAGGAGCATCTCAAGGCAAGTAACGCAATGGGAGCTACACACACTGGGCACCTGGGTCAGGCCTGGACCGTGTGCCTCCGTTCACTGCTTTCCTGCAAGGAAGGTGCTGTCCCTGATTTACGGATCAGGAAACAGCGTTTAGGAACTTTTAATATGTTTAATATGCCAGTTCCCAAACCCAAGGCACGCTGGGCTCCAGAGTTGGGCTCTTTCAACTATGCCCCATCTGTTTCCCCAGTACGTTCTCAGAGGGCCTGAAAACTGGTACAGACCTGTGCCAAGGGACCGCATGGGAGGTAAACCCAGAAAGATCTCTTAGAGCTTCGCTGGGGCAGCACGGAGCATCAGGCCTGGCTGACTCATTTACAGGGAGATGGGCAGCTGCGGGGAGGGTTTCTGAGACATGGGAGCAAACACTTGAAGGTGTGTTTAGAAATGAATATGAGGGGCCGGGCACGGTGGCTCACGCCTGTAATCCCAGCACTCTGGGAGGCCGAGGCGGGAGGATCGCTTGAGCTCAGGAATTCGAGACCAGCCTGAGCAAGCGCAAGACCCCATCTCTACTAAAAATAAAAAATTAGCTGGGTGCCATGGCATGTGCCTATAGTCCCAGCTACCCAGGAGGCCAAGGCGGAAGAACTGCTTGAGCCCAGGAGTTTGAGGTTGCAGTGAGCTATGATGATATCACTGCACTCTAGCCTAGGCGGCAGGGCAAGACTCTGTCTCAAAAAAAAAAAAAAAAAAAAAAGAATATGAGGGCACTGGGCAGGAGGGATACCAGTGGGTACCAGTCCAGGACCAAGAAAAAAGAAGATGACCATGTTATCTCAAGAATACAACCATAATTGGAAAAGTGTGTAATAAAGCCAACATCCTTAGGGAATGATATAATAACCCATGTCAGCTACTTTTCCAGATAACTGAAGTTTATTCCTTTTAGCTCCTGAGGGGATCCAGGAGTGGGATGGCCTGGGCGCAGGGGAACCCCAGCATCACAGACCCTGGGCAGAGCCCCACGTAGTTTGCGTTTGTAGCGTAAGCACGTCGGCTAGGCTAACGTGAAAAGCTCTCAATATTTGCGAGAATGCGACTACGATGAAGAAAAAGCAGTCCTCCCACTTTGACGTGAGAACCCCTTTTGGAAAGTCGTTCTGATTCTGAGCCTGACGACATCAGGAGCAGAACTAACCAGCAGCTGTCAAGGGCCTAATAACTGACCAAGGAGCCATCCAAATGGCTGCAATACGTGTCAGGAAAGGGCAGCATACTGTCATCAGCACGGCATAAATTTCTCATGGAACCTGGCATACCAAGCCTCTTTTCTATTAGTAACTGAATATAAAAACCAAGATCAATTGCAAGGAAAAAACCCCACTAGAATCTTGAGAGAGTCACACAGTTGTCTAGAGGAGACCATATGAACAAATCAAATTCCAGCAGACAGAATTCTAGAGATTTCTTTCCTGGTTATATTCACAGATCTTAATATATTCAGATAATAAAAGCTTTTCTCCAAAAAAACCCTTTAAAATTAAAAAGGCAGAGAAAGTTTTCAAGACACATTTTGAAAGACTTCTCAACTCATTTCTTAGCTTTGGATAAAATGTTTAAATTTTTTCCTGTCACAAACCCGAGATATAATGTCATAGAAGGAAAATCCCAACAAGTCAGTCAGATCTAATGTCATCAGATTCACAAATGCAGCCCCCAAAGCAAAGCTCTGTCCATGTCCAAGAACAGATTCCCTGCAGAGCTGTCCAAGCATCTGGGCTACGTCCTTACCCGGGGCAGCTGGTCCCACTGTTCTTTGTTCTTCATCTCTTCTTGCACTTCATGGATCCGCTTCAGAGACTCCAAACTTTCGTCGAGCAAAAATGTCGTGTCATTTATCAGCATGTTTATATAGCGAACAAACTGCTTCCCAGAACTGAAAAAACAATTGTATCGTACATGGTCACATATCTCCCTGAAGCAAAATGCCACTAACTGCACATCCCAAAGAAAATGAGCCTCTACCCAGAGTGCCAACCATCACACTATAAGACTGCCCACCTTGGCACAAGTCAGATATTATAGAGTTCAGCGACTATCAATCTCTCTGTAGATTGTGTTATTCTTTTAAATTAATTCTGATAAGCTCATTCCAGTGGTGTTTTAGAGCCA